CACAGTCCTGCTCAACACAGCCTGTTTTGGCGCACCGGTAGGTTTGCCCGTTTCACCTCGTCTTCTCCGAAGCACATTCTGTCGTTGTAGCAAAGCTGCACGAAGTGAGCAGATTTTAGTTTTTTACATCGAAAGCTGCTATGAGGTCACAAGAAGAGTGGATTCTGGTGCCATAGTTATCAGCCACAGCCGATGCTCATAATCACTATCACACGAAATGAAAAAAAAATAAATAAATAAAACTACCGAGGACAAAATGGGAACCGAACCTTGGTCCTCGGCGTGGCATCCCTGCACTATGTCACAGAGCTACGTCGGTGCTTGAAACTCCATTGCAATGTGACCGTGTGAAGTAAGAACAAGGTGTTACACAATGCGAATTGCGTAACGAGTCGGTTGTTAAATGCTTGCTTGCTTGTACCTATGTTATGGCTTGTACGCACTGCATGGTATTGACCATTAAAATGGCGGCTAACGTGAATGAGAAAAAGGAGTTTCAAGTTTTTATGAAAAAAATATCATTGAGTCGTCTGGTTAGTATAAAATTGGACAATCATAAGGGGTACCTACGACTAAAGTAGGTAAAAAAATTAATTGAAATGAATCAATAAATAGCAAATTCCAAAAAACTAGAAGCTTATTAGTAGAAACCGAACAGGCAAACCTTCTTGTGTCTCTAAGAAATTCGCAAACTGCTATGCAGACGCTCCTGTTGCTGTGGCCCAAAGAAGAAGCCCCAAGGAAAATAATATTTTCAGATTTAAGAGTAATGCTTAATTTTCTGAATATAGCTTCTAAATGTTTTTATGGCTTGTGAAACGTCCGCAAATAAGTAAAAAATAATCAATGTTTGCTGGCTCTTGGCAGTGAAAGCAAAGGGGAGATGGTACCTGACCAGACCTGTATAAATAAAACAAAAGGTGGAATCTGGCATCGAAATTTGGTGAAACACACTTCCAATTTGCTAGGGGCACCATCTATTATTCCAAGCAAAATAAAGATACCCGTATTCTTAAACTGGTAATCCAATTTGCATGGAGTTTTCATGGAAGTAAATAATATTTACGTAGTCGGGTACAACGAACATTAAAGGACCATCTACCAACCCATTACAAAAGCCTCCAGCGTAATTCTTCATCGTCGTCATCCACAGAATCAACAAGGGACATATAGTGCCTTACAATTGTGTAGCGGGTACCACAATTTTTCGAAGACTGACGAATTTTGTGGACGTTGCCCGCTACACAAAAATTTTCTTTATTTAGGGTGTAGTGGGTACCAAGCATGTGTGTGGTAGCAGTTACGCCAAGAGTGTTTAAACAAGGCTTTAGAAAGGCTTCTCTTCCAGCTTTGGCTGTGACTGTGCTAGGTGTTCTGCGCAGGCCTAGTGCCCTTCGTTTGTGTGTGTTTTTTTAACCTTGATTTAGGCTGCGAATTTTTTGACGAGTAACTTCACGTGATATTGGGTTTGTGATAGTGATGTGTGTGCATCCTGAAGGGAGCTGCTGTGGAAGTTCTTTCATGCGGGAGATTCTTTGAGTCAAACGTGGTCGTGTGATAAAGGCCGCGATTGCCTTCGCGGTCATATCATGAACCAAACGTTTATGAGCGTTCATTCACGAGGGATGGTGTCATCAAGAGTAAGCGGCTGTGAGCAATTCCAAGGAAGAATTTCTCTCCAATGGCAGATTCGAAGGTAGCGGGGCAAACATAAGTAACGGTCGCAGACAGCCCATGCATATGTACATGGTTTTGCCTAACGTAGATAATTACGTGGCCTTAATTCTTGGACGATAGTACTTTATAGATTTAATAATAGCGCTATGAAATGACTCGCTGAGCCATTCTTGAGTAAACTTGTATAAAAATATCAAATCAATGTCATTAACTGCACAGAACAGCTGTTAGGTGAGTTTACAGGTATTTTCACTGTTGTGAAGCCGCAGGAAAGTCTGTATTGGTAATTTTGAGGATATAGTTTTTATACTGTTATTTTGTTTATTAGGTTTCATTCAATATATAGATGTGAGTTTCACTTCTATACAAGAGACTTTGTCACAACGTTGACCCGCTGTGATGAGACTATCGGAAGAATACTCGAAGTTAAAAGTGACAGAGTTCAACTTAGATAGGCTTGTTGCCACAATTTTGCCCAACTGTCCAGCTTATTCAATGAGAACTCCTGCTCACAGCGAGTATTCAACGTCCAAGGGAGCAATGATGGATAGCGTATATGTCACCTTTGAAAACTCGATTCATGCACATCATGTGACACCGCTTTTGTTCTGGAAAGTAGAGACATGGAAGCAGAGAATATGCGAATGATCGAAAACATTTCCCGAGGTGCCTCGAAATTACATAGGCCTTCTTTCATTCCCATACTAACTATAAAACATGCTGTTGGAATTCTCACACGCGGAAGTTTTTGGGAATACTTCATTTTTTGCTCGGACGAATGCAGTATTGTTCCTTCAAAGGCAATGTCTATGCTCTAAGATTCTATGGGCATTGAGACACGTTCCAGTGGACACCCATTAGAAACTGTGACGCACTTAATAGTGAATTCACTATTAGGAGAGAGAATTATTCTAATGGAAGCTGGAGAGGTTTTTAAAACCAGGCAAACCTCTCCAGCTTCCATTAAAATATTTCTCTCGTGATAGCGAATGAAGCGATTAACAGACTGTTGAACAATTTTCGCAAAGTGAAAATAGTGCCCGATGCTTCAGGGGAGGAGCTCCCAAAGGCGTGGGTCTGTCTATCCCTTTTATGTATGTATATGTATGTATGTATGTATGTATGTATGTATGTATGTATGTATGTATGTATGTATGTATGTATGTATGTATGTATGTATGTATGTATGTATGTATGTATGTATGTATGTATGTATGTATGTATGTATGTATGTATGTATGTATGTATGTATGTATGTATGTATGTATGTATGTATGTATGTATGTATGTATGTATGTATGTATGTATGTATGTATGTACATGACCGCCTATAGTTCCACGTTTGCCAGCTGCCCTTCGTCCTTGCAAACATCCCACTACGCCCGATCACCGATCGACTACTCGACCGACCGTGAAGCAAATACTGTTGAGAAGTAGCCTATATGAAATGCAAGATGGCTGTGTACTTGTATCCAGGTGCGCCTTAAATAACCATATATTATCTCGTAGTGTCAATTCCTTGTTTGTACGTGACCACCTATAGTTCTACCTTTGCAAACTGCCCACTACTTCGTCCTTGCAAACATCCCACTATGCCCAATCACCGATTCATCACTTCACTGACCACAAAGTCGTTATAATGAAGGGAAAATGAAAGCAAACTGCCACTTATGAATTGTAGAATTTCTTGTATAAATATACACAGTATTTCTATATATAACCCTCCAGCGCTTCACCCCACTCATCATCATTCACACTGTGGATATTCTGTGATCTTTTCTGTAGATTGTTTTTTAAATTGAAACAAATGAAAGCAAGCCATGACACATAATTACATGGGCACGAAAAAATCAACCAGCTTCGCTTCGTAAAAGGTGGTGAAGTTGCTTTCGCCAGGCTAAGGCGTTTCTATGTTTTTTAAATATATGCTCTCTCACTGCTCTGTATTAAACACTCTTTGTTAAACTTCAAGGTAGTTGCATAGTCTTATTTCATCTTGATCATACTGCTCTTATACAACGGTTTACAAAGAAGCCTTCAATTAGGTTTATCTGATATGTTGCATCAATGCTATTTATTAAACAATCTTTGTTAAGCTTTGATCTGAAGGTACAGTCCCGCCCTTCTATAACCACCACGGATCCAGCGACGGTGGTGGGTTCATGATAATGTGCGTGCCATTTGGAGGGCTAACTGATGCCGTTTTCCTGTTCATCGGAACTAGTTTGTAGATGAATGAATGGGTTAATAACTTTATTATGGTCCTGCTGTGTGCACATTTAGCGCGCAGCGGGGCGCTCTCACGTCGAGACAAAGATCAAGCCCTGTGCGGCGTCGCGGGCGCGATGGACAGCCCAGAGCTGTGGATGTACCCAATTTCTAATTTTCTGTTGCATGTACGCATTTATGATGACAGACTTCTGATAGGCCAAACATATTGCTATGGCGCATACCCGCTTGTTTGGCTGACTGTCGCCCTCACTTTTAGTCGACCATTGGTGGGTAGTGGCATTTCCCGATTTCTATGGCGCAAACACTTGCATGATGCCCACAAGCTTTACAAAAGCTGCTGGACATGAAAGGCTCCACCAAGAACACCTTCGCTGATAAAATAAGTGGACAGAGCTAGAACAGCTGGGCGAGTTGCTCCATTAACAGTTTAGATAAACAACGAACCGACCAGTGTTTTTTGTTGTTGTTGTTCTGTTTCCTTTTTTGTTAATAATTATATGTAAACAGAAAAATGAGTGCGCCGTGAATTATAAACCTCCAACCCGTTGTGGTAGAAATTAACAATGCTGGTTATAACGAAAAATCATATGTTATTGTAGCGGGCTGAAGAAAGTGCATTTCTTAAGGTACCTCTTACTTTACTTTGATAGAAACAAAAACAACCAAAAATGGACATAGAGTGAAACTATATGAAGTGTTATTACAAACTACGAAAAAATCATAGGCACTGTGTTTTTTATTTATATGATTCCCACTTCTATCCAACATGAGATACATACTCTACAACTGACATCGTGGGAAACAAGAAGTCATCCTAATACTATATATGTCTCTTTTTCAATCAATGTGACTCCGTTTGAGGACTGAGCATGGAAAAGCTTTGGCTGTAGGCTCAACAGGTGGTACTCGTGGAAACGTCTAGGGGAAATATTCCGCTCTTCAGCCATTGCTAGCGATAGTAGTACAACCTGCTTGGTCTTATTAAGCCTTCATAAATTTCCATCTCTGTCAAACATCTATAGCGTTGGTGTACCCAGAGACGCTGTTCACTGTCGGCTCTCAATGCTCGTGTCTCACCTTCTCGTTTGCAGTTGATGGTGCTGCAGGAATTCTGCGAGTCATCACGGCGGTATTGCCCCCCAGGGGAGAAGGGCAACGCGGGACATCCAGGTTAGTCCTAATTCACTCGTTGCACTGCGAGCGCTTCTCTGACGCTTGTTGCCTTGGTCCCAACGGGGATCAGACGCGCGAGTCCAGGTATACCCTGCATACCATGAAAATCTGTGATTGGAAAGCCTAGACCTCGGGTGTATTTTCATTTAAAGGAGCAATATGTTGATAAGGAGCGCTAGCTTGGTGTTCATAATTTCGAGCTTTGCTTCGTTGGGAAGATGAACAGTGGCGCCCGATATGAGTTGCATTATGCTGCCCGTGGTCAAAGTGGCACCAACACTGCACGCCGACATTGACATAAATAAAAAATCACTGATGCCAACACTGTTTCATTGATTACTATTTACAAAACTGATGTCAGTCACCTTCGCCGGTGTTGCAGTATAGGTTTGGGCGCCCCTTCAGTTATGCCCACCATGCCGTGCCTCATATTGAGCAGCATGAAGTACAACTACACTTGAATGAAAAAAGAAGTGTAAATTTATGGCATAACTTTTTCCTACGTCAGACACAGTATTAATAAGAATTAACGCACAAAGATGCCAAGGGCCTCGTTTTGGCATATTCGACGCTATCAGGTAGCATGCGAGAAATTGTTTGTCAGCTGCCAGCTCGTAATAAGAAAACGTAGTACGTGACACCAGCAGGCAAATGAAAAGTGTTTCACATTCGCAGTTATGTCTAACAGCGGTGAGCGATGAGTGACGCTGCCACGTTTAAACACATCTATATGCTGTAAAGTGGATGCATGAATGACTGACGCCACGCAGGGCAGTGCTAGAACATCGATCTCTTTATCTGAAGGTCGCAGGTTCAGTCGGTGCTGGCGGCAAGTTACCTTTTCGAAAACTTTATTTCCTCGCATTGAGATTACAATTACTTCTAATAGCATTCCCTATGCTTTCTTTAGCATCATTGCTTATTAGTTCTCATTGTGTCAAACCACGATTGAAGTAACTGACGAAGTACAACTGCACTGAGTGATAACAACATATTGTAGCGATCTGCCAAGGAGAACGGACAAGAAGCGATGATTGGGTGAAGGTGAGCGACGAGACGAAGTTGCCGGATAGTCACGGGAAGACGTGCTTCACTGTTGATCCAAACTTTCATAACAAAAAGGGGGTCGGTCCATGTAGTTGCTCCGTGATCGGGCGTCTGTGTAGCCGGACACGCGACGACGGCAGTATCGGGAGATATGGCCAGGGCCGCCGCACGCAAAACAGATCGGCCGGTTACTGCCGACTAGACCACCGTGGTGGGGAGGTCCGAAACACTGTGTTGGTCGTTCAGCTGTGGGCGAAATCCCGTCATACACGCGGGCCATCTTCCTTGTTTCTCAAGGTACCAAGCTAGTCTTGTGCATATGAGTCTTTCCATCAACTTAGATGCGCATGACGTTAGCGATACCAGTCGATATGAGGTGAGGCTCGCAGGATCTTTTCCACGCTTCAGCACTGGCACCACCCATGCTGTCTTCCACACAAATGGAATCTCTCCTGTGCTCCAGACATGAATAAATATATCCTAAAGGGCGTGCCTTTGATCATTTGGCAGGCTTGTCACCATCTGATTGCTGATCATATCGGGATTGACAGCACAGCGTCTTTTTAATTTGCTAAGGGCCATATCCTGCTCCCGAAATGTGAATGATATATCCAATGTATGAAATATTTAAGGTAGCAGAGGTATCGCCACTTCTGCTGATCTGCCAGCTGTGTATACGTCTGAGAAATCTTCTACAAGGGTTTGCAAATCTTTACGTTGCTTCAAAGCGAGTGCTTGGAATGGTGTGTGAGAGCGGATCTTTCCAGAAAGACTATTTATGATTCTCCATATTCTTGTCAAGTGTGTAAACGGCGATAACTCTAAGGTCATCAATGTAATTTTTATAAAGGAGATTCTCATAACGTTCTGCAGCCTGCGCAGAATGTTGTAAACCTATCCACGCTATCCAGAAATGCCTGTCGGCTACAAAAAAAAAAAAAAAAACGCCACCACACGACATGCGTTAGAGATACTGTATTTGGTCGCCACTTAGAGGCATCAAATTTAACGTAGTAATAAATTATATGTAGGTAACTACGGTGGCAAAACGCATGTAGCCTATGTGGGTTTTATATTAGACTCTACTGCTCAACAATGGGACAGCTTCGCATATTGGGAGACGGGTGTATTGGTGATTATATGCCAAATTAACAACACCAATAAAGATATAGGTTACCCAAGCTGCAGTAGTTCTTCACTACAACTCACCTGCTCATGGTTTATCTACATTCTACAGTAGTATGCGTTGGCAAGGACCTTATATGCAAAGGCTGGTGTGTGTATTGTGTCAGCTGTAGCACCCATACTCAGCGACATTTTCTTCAGCCGCGTTGATGAAAAGTGTCAAAACGTTTAGCAGGGACTGCCGAACACATCTTTTTGTATATTGACGATTACTGTGTGCAAGGTTAACTATATCCAGAATGTCATTAATGCACTCAAGTTGTTTAAAGAGAATTCCTGTAGGCTGAAGTTCACTATAGAATTCGCACAAGACAAGACGTTACAGTTTTTGGACATCAAGTTGTTATTCAGGCAGAACACGTGTGCTGGCGGTACAGTCTACGAGCCAAAAAACTTTTGCTGAATTTTGCTTCCGCCCACTTGAAAGTAATAAAAAGCGCAATAGCATTTTCTTGTTTAAAATTGTCGTTGTTTTGTTCATGTGCCCGCGAGGTCTCTTCCAGCTTTCAGGATATGATAAATAGGCTTAGAGCAACTGAGTACCCCACCCATATGTTAGACACTGTTTGCAGAAAACTCATTTCGGTTATAAAATGAACCAAATGATTTCCCAAAAGGTTGGAAAGTGAACGCAACAAGCGTGCTGCTCTCCCGTATATTCACAGGTTCCCCCCGGCCTGAAGAACGTTGCAGCGAGATATGGTGTGACTTCTGTTTTTACAGCACCCCGGAAACTTTCATAGCTGTGTCCACGAGCTCGGAAGATGGCGGAGCCTGGCACCACCCAGAGAAGAAACATTTGCCACTTAACGCACAGCAAATGTTACCGAACCTGTAAAAACGCGAGTAGCAGGCTCCCCTGAGTTGTGGCCGTTCTTATCTTGGGCATTCTGGAAGGTGTATAAACACCAGGCTGAGGGAGCACGACTCCGCTTTACATAGTGCAGCACAAACACATCTGGTGAACCGTGGCAGGTCTTGTGGGGGCACACCATTTTTTACAGACACAAATATTTTGTCAACACACAGGCAAAAAATATAAACCGTGAGTTAATTGATGTGCTCCATATTAAAAATATGGGAGACTGTGTGTCAGCCAAGCCTCAGTCACATTGTCTGATCCAGAATTCGACTTTTTGAAAGACACGTGTAGGTATCCTTCTACAGTTGTGTAGACGCCAGCCTGAAAAAATGGTGGTAGTGTGCTACTTTCATGATGTATTGTAAATAGATATCTGCACTTTTATCTCGTGGTGGTTGAGAACCATCGTTGGGGTCTTTTGTCAATTAACCTTTAACCTTTGTTAGTTTTGAGATAAAAGCGCATTATTTCTTTTAAATAAATTAGTTGTGAGTTTTCGCCCCTTGCTTTTTGTCTCTTCTTGTCCGTGTTTTTTTTTTCTTTTTTTTTTGCGGAACTCTTAGCTATGAACTCCCCTTATATTGATGTCGTTATTTTTGGAAATAATTGAACTTACATTCGATTAAGTGGGAGAATTTAAAGTTGAGTCATTCCCACCAATATGACTCATGAACAACGTTCCCATCATTACGCTTTCGGCATCAACGCTGCTAAGTGAACAATCTCTCGTGCTGCTCAGTCACTGGCTACTAATAATCTGCCAATCGACACCCGCCCAATTTTTTAAAAGCATTCAGGCATTATGGACTTCTGAAGAATCTATATGAAAACACACAAATGAGAGCGTTATTCTCTCCTGTCATTTCCACTCTTTCCGGTCTGATTCGTGACTCACGCAGTTTTCTCACTTCACGTCATGAAGAAACAAGCTGTCGATTGGTTCGTATACGAGACATATTGTATCATTCTTAATTTGTCTCCTACCGCTACTTGCCATGAAGTCGTACGCCCCTTATGTCTTGTCTCACATGCATGTATATCGGCAACGAACATCTTATTTAAAATCGGTTTGTGTTTTTTTTAACGCGATAGCACTAAAAAGCTCGTTTCGCAGAAATTCTGGCGGCGGCGTTGATGTCAGTGTCAACGTCGGTGTCGGCGTCGGTGTCGTTGGTTGTGAGTGAAAAATCATTATCATGGGCACGACTGGAAAATGAAGAACGATGCAAACAAAATAAATGATAATATAAATATTCGGGGTTAGAAGCGCTCGTTTGGGTCGGGGGGATCGAACGTATAGGTAGTTTGCGTGGCAAGTAGATGCTCTACCACACGGCGACGCTTATTTTTAGTGCGAAGCTCTTAAAGTCATGGGTCTGTCCATGTATGTCTTTTGTGACCGGTTCGCAATGAATGGATGAACTTTATTTGGTCCTTCGTAACGTGCTTTAGCATGTTGCGGGCCGCTCCGACGTTGGAACAGAAAGACCAAGTCTCTATGCTGCATCGCGGTCCCGGTGGGCTGCCTAGTTGTGTGACTCACTCAGCAGGTAATCACAGTGACAGACAGACAGACAGACAGACAGACAGACAGACAGACAGACAGACAGACAGATGGACGGACAGACAGACAGACAGACAGACAGACAGACAGACAGACAGACAGACTGATGGACGGACAGACGGACGGACGGACGGACGGACAGACAGACAGACAGACAGACAAGACAGACAGACAGACAGATGGACGGGCAGACAGACAGACAGACAAGACAGACAGACAGACGGAAGACAGACAGATGGACGGCAGACAGACAGACAGACGAACAGACAGACAGACAAGACAGACAGACAGATGGACGGACCAAGATGGCAGACAGACAGACAGACAGACAGACAGACA